CGAATTCGGCGGTGGAGCGGACGACGGAAGTTGGTAAAATTGATAGAGTTCATACCAAAGAATGCAGCTGGGAAAAAGAATCTTACCACCCCGGCGCCAATTACTACAACAATCGGGCATCAGCGAGATAGCATCTGTAAGGCATGTTTCGCACGCCATTCTCGATAGATCAGGAGTGCACTGTCCCATAGCGTATACTCTGTCGCCCGACGTGAAATTAGTATCCTGGACAGCGAATTTCTTGCCGGAACCCGGATCAGAATTCGCGGCCGCAGACACAACCTGTTCATACATGACACTTAACACCTGGTTCAGAAACGGTATGTCGGTTGCATTAGCCTGGTTGCAAGAATAGAAAGCCTGGCTCACATCCAATTTGGAGAAGATCGATTCATTCGAATACCGCATCATGCACAAATCGTACCAGACCGTGGCCTGATTTTTGTCCGGGCAGGACCTTAACAGGTCAGCCTCGGCGGTCATCAAGCAATCTTGACAATCACCAGGATTAACGTCACCCCGGCAAAGAAACAGGCCGTATGCCGCAGCGTCACCGCTGCCAGAAGTGTAATTATAGGACCCATTGGGATGAAAAGTAGAATTGGAAACTAAAGTAGAAAGCAGAGAAACAACGTTGTTTCTAAAGGTTCTGCCATTAGTAGTGTTAGTTGACGAGTCCAAATAAACCCTAGGCCTATTGGGCCTAGGATTAGGTTACTTGGAGATTAATTCACCGCCTAAACCTATTCCGACTAGGTTTACATAAACAGGTAACATCACCTCTATATAAAGAGGCTTCTCCCATAATTGATATTCTCTACACCCCAAACACACGACACACACACATCTCTCTCTATTCCCTCTATTCTTTATATCTCTTTACTGACTTAAGTATCGGAGAGTCTACTCTCGGGAGAAACCCGAGGCTCTGTCTTGTAGGTTTAAGGCCGTCCGCCGCCGCCCAGATCATCATCGCCGCCCGTCCTGAGCACCGTACAATTCCATGCATCGTCAAGTGGCACGCCCAGTGGGACCGATTGATTTGGTCTTCACAACCAAATAATTTCTTGAAGTAAAGTTGGAATTTATTGGTGTCTCATAGTGATCACGATGGTGGTCGGATTTGCAACCGAGAAGTCGTAGCAGCAAGCAAGCAGCTCACAATGACTAAACAGAAGCCAACTGCTCGAGAATAATTCTTCCCTGGGGTTCAAAAGCCCTCGAAAGGGGCAGAAAATCAGCCGAGGACAATTCCTCAATTCAAGAATTGTCACTTAACCCCTAATAATTTTGGTTATTATAATTTAAACCCTAATACTTCAATAATTTTACAGATAAGCTCTCAAGTCATTCAAAGCAAGGGACAATCTCGAATATTGAAATTTCGAGAGATATATCTCCTCGAAGGGGCAAGCATCACTCGAGCAACACACTACTACACGAAGTATTCGAGCACACATCCCTCGAGCACCATTCTACTACTCGAAGTGTTCGAGCAGATGTATCTCGACTTTTATCTACTCAACTACTACCTTCTCGAAATCGAGGTAACACCTTCTCGGAATCGAGGTAATATTTTCTCGAATAATTAATTTATTACGAGATCGAGGTACTTCTCAAACCTTTTCTAATATGTTTCTCGAATATATGTGTATCTACTACTGATATCATTGGCATATTACTACTACCATGTCACAATATCTTTTTTAAGTACGATCAAAGGAATCTTTCGAGGAACCAAATCTCTAGGGAAAATACCCATCACCTTGCAATGAGGAAAATCACCTCGAGGTTGCCTTCAACAAGAAAAATCACCTCGGGACACAAACTGGAAAATACCCTAGGGGCAAGGAACTTGAGGGATCATCCTAACATCCTCTGCTTGAACTGATATTCCTCATAATCATCCTATTATTATTTGTCATTACATTATTATATTATATATCGCATCTCGAGCATCCAAACATATAGGGGCCACCCTTCAAATCAGGCACTGGGGACCACCCCACATCAGAAAGGAACCGAAAGACCTGCACGACAGGCATATATGAACTAACCTGAAAACACGATTCTCGAATATATCTACCTTTTTATCTTATATAGATGACACCCGAGAACAAAAGAGTTCGAGAACTGGGGCAACACCACGAAACTCGAGAAGACTCAACAATTGTGGCAATCCATATCCTTCTCATCAAGTCTCGAGAATATGGCTTGCTAGGGGCACTTGACGAGTCCAAATAAACCCTAGGCCTATTGGGCCTAGGATTAGGTTACTTGGAGATTAATCCACTGCCTAAACCTATTCCGACTAGGTTTACATAAACAGGTAATATCACCTCTATATAAAGAGGTGGTGCCTCTCCCATAATAGATATTCTCTACACCCCAAACACACGACACACACACACATCTCTCTCTATTTCCTCTATTCTTTATATCTCTTTACTGACTTAAGAATCGGAGAGTCTACCCTCGGAAGACACCCGAAACTCTGTCTTGTAGGTTTAAGGCCGTCCGCTGTCGCCTAGATCATCATCGCCACCCATCCTGAGCACCGTACAATTCCATGCATCGTCATTAGTGTTGTACGATGTGTCGTTGGGACATGTAATTGACCGAAAATAAGAGTATCCGACATGGAAGTTGACAACTGAGGTGATAAGGAAGCAAGCTAAGAAGAGTATTGGATTTCTGGAGATCATCTTCTTGGTTATTACTAATTCGATAGGTATCAAAATGCAATCGGTTTTAGTACTACAACTTTTTCAATTTTAATGGAGATCATTGATATTGAAGTTGGTAGTTGAAACTATATGTTGGTCCAGCTTAAGGGACTAATGTGGAGAACAGTGACGGATCCAGAAAATTTTTTCTACGTGTGCTTCATTACATTACAAGAAAATAAATTGGTTAACATATGACTACATATAATATATATATATATAATAAGATTTAATAAGCTCCAAACGAACACTATCTCATGTAAAGTGAACTAATTAAAGGGATAAAATTATTTCATTTTGTATCTTATGTCACAAAAAAAGTTGTCGAATTGTTTCTACTACTGAAAAATGCAACTACCCTTGAAATATTTTTCATAAGAGTTAAAAGTTTTACCGTTAAAAAAAATTAAAACAAAAATTTCTGGGTGTGTCTGGGCTTCTCCGAGCACATATGTTGCATCCGCCCTGGTGGAGAAAGAGACTTGGTCTTCTTAAAATCCAATGTCCTTATTCGCCGACGTGAGAGATTGACTCCAGTTATGAAACGAAGACAAAGTATACAAGGGATGTGCGGAGCTTCAAGGCATTAGATGATTAATATAAACCCACATGAAGTGTGAATATAGGATGATGAAGAAACATATTTTTGTCAGTTTAGAAGAAAGATCAAACGCGGATCAAATGACTAGGAATTTATTATGCTAAACTTAGGGACAAAAAGTGAAACTTCTTGGAGTAAGGAGACTTGAATCCCGTGACCTTTATGATAACAATAAATCTACCCACACCTTTATTAAGACTTTGATGGTTGGTGGTTAAACTGAGTTGTCATCGTGTATTTCTCAATCGAAATTATTTTCCCAAATTGTGCCCGTTAAAGAAAATTTTGCGCTGCATGTAGTCTGAGTTGCTAGTTTTAATTCTGGCAAATCCTCTTAGTCTTCACACATTCATCTTCACCGCCGCGGAGTTTCATTTGGGGCTCTAGAGAATGAAATGTAACTAGTAGCAATATTATTAATACTTAAGAAATTTATTTTTGTTATCAAACTGAAAAAAAGAGACTATTTCAAAACTGGATAGACTAATCGTAAAGTAGACCAGTTGAATAAATTCTCCTAGATTTCACTATTGAAGTATGGATCATCATCATCATCATCATCTGTGACGTGTTTCGTCCATTTATTGCACAAAAAGATGCAGATTGGAGCTTCGAATATATTAATATTTATACCCTCAGTCAATATTCCTCGTGCAAGTGGGTTGTTAGAGCAAATTTGTGTCGTCTAGTACGCTAGTAGTACTAGTCTTCATCGACAACTTGTCGCGTGTCACGAGGTATATTCACAAGTCTACCAAAGCACCTTTTGGCTTTAAGTTCAAGCAACTGGGGAATAAACTACAAATAATGCGACAGTATTTTCCCCCATTGTCATGCCACCAACGTCTTTACTCTGTACACAATAGTTTATCTAATTATTGTTCTTGCTATAGCTTGAACTTGAATGATTTCTCCAGTTATATTTAAACTGAGGACTAGGTTCATCAAGTAACACGAAAGGGACACACATTTGTGATTTATGATATGTGGGTGGAGCAATAAGAACCTAAATTAACAAAGCAATGACATTTTATAATTAAAATATGAAAATAAAAACGGCAATTATATTAATAGCCCCATAGAATAAAATTTTATCCATCCACCAGCGAAGATGACACGACACATGCTTGTCACCTTTTGCTTTCATCCAGGATGGAGTTCAGTGATAGGATCTTCATTTGTTGAGGATTTTGGCTGTGATAATTCAATGGTAGATGATCGATCCGACTCTGCAACAGATTGTTCCGGTTGCACTCTCTCCATTCGTTGACTAGGGCCGAATAATGCCGGCGGATTTGGCATCGGCAATGTGACGGAATTACTATTGAGCATCAAGACCACAGAAGGCATGGTAGGTCTTAGTTCAACATCTTCTTGAACACAAAGTAAACCAATGTGAATACACCGAATTACTTCATTTTGGTTGTAGGATTCGCTTATGCTCGGATCAAACAATGCTAATGGTGTTCCCTCTCTCCAGAGTCTCCAACACTAAAGAGTTGAAATAATAATGATAACAAAATATAAGGTACTAAATTAAACAAATTTCAAAGGTAAAGGACATAACATAACATATGGAGCAAGGTAAGAGACTAATAATGATATTTGCTCAAATGTTATCAATATACATGACCATTTTGGGTGACTAATTTAGTTTGGTTAGGAATACTTACATGACTTAAGAAATCATCACCAGCATTTGATTGTAAGTAGCTACTGTTCCTCTTTCCACTTGAGATCTCCAAAACTAAAACACCAAAACTGAATACATCTGATTTAACTGAAAAGATGCCTTGCAGTGCGTACTCCGGAGACATATAACCACTTCAAAAAGAGAACGGTAAAAAACGAAGAGAAAGAAAAAAGTATTGTTAGATAATTTTTAATTAAGAAGGCAATGCCAGTATCACTACTAATTTATACTCCAACTACCTTGTTAGGATGGATCACAGTTTCATGTAAACATTGTACACTCAAAATTTATTGTAGACATAAAAAACTTACAACGTGCCAGCAATTTTACTTGTGTTGGCTTCAGATTGATCGATTTCAAAAAGTCTCGCCAAGCCAAAGTCTGCAATCTTTGGATGCATATTTTGGTCTAGTAGTACATTACTGGCTTTAAGATCACGATGGACGATTTTAATGCGAGAATCTTCATGGAGATACAAAATCCCTCTTGCTATTCCTCCTATGATCTTGTAACGCATTAACCAATTTAACAAAGATCGTTTCTCTTTATCTACATAACATGGCATAAAAAAAAAAAGAATTCATTAATCAGTTTTCTTAGTTTACTTTAAGCTTAATCCCTATGTCTCAAAATTATTGTCCAATTTGAATTTTTATTTTAATATATTTTAAATTAAAAATAAAAATCCAAAATAAACAATCGTTTCAGGAAGGAGGGAGTATCATTTGATTCCTTGAAGAATACTTACCAAATAGGAAGAAGTCCAGACTTCTATTAGGAACATATTCATAAATGAGTAGCTTTTCTTCTCCTTCCAAACAGTAGCCTAATAGTTGAACCAGATTCCTGTGTTGAAGTTTGGCAACTAGTGCAATTTCATTTATGAACTCTTCAGTACCTTGTGATGAGCCCCTAGAAAACCTCTTCACTGCTACTATTTGCCCAGTTGGCAGTGTACCCTAACCATTAAAAGTAGTGAATCAGTAGTTTGGTACCTTAAATTGAGAATTTTATACGTTGAATTTTGTATGCTCCAAATGACTATTTTCTCCATACTTCAACTTAAAATGGTACCTTATATACAGGACCGAATCTTGTTTTGAACAGCAAAGTTGTTCGTACAAGCTTGAATCTGACTAAAATTATACCGCAAGGATTCTGCATTATTTGGCGGTATACTGCTTACGCCTAAAGCGCGGATAGCATTAATTGATTAATAGAAAACAGTGAGTGCAACTTTAGGTCATTGCTGGAGGATTCATATTCTCAATTTTTGAACATATATTAAAACTGCTTTCTTCATATTTTAAGTCACCTGATGTTTCGTGCGCGGCATCTTGCGTCTCTTTCGCCTTCCTTACAAAGCAGAAGACCATCAAAACTAGCGCAATTATGACTGCAATAATTGGGATAACAATGGCTATAATTGTTGTGGTTGAGACTCCCCCCTTATCTGCAGAGATCCAAATTAAACAAAATCTGGACAAAGGTTTATAAAGTAAACAAGATATCATAAGTCTACTAATGCTCAAGTGGGCTATAGGCTTTTACCATTACTGGTTGCAGTAGTAGGACCTAGAGAAGGAGGACGAACGCTGGAAGAGGGCGGCTCCGGTGGTGTAGCCGACGAAACTTGGTAAAAAGGACTGCTCTCATACCGGATATTGCAGCTGGGATGAAGAACTCTGGCTCCCTGACGACTAGTGCAACAGTTGGGAAGAATCTGAATAGCACTTCTAAGGCATTTTTCGCAATCCAGGCTGGAAAGATCAGGAGTGCACTGTCCCAGAGCGTATATCCTCTGGAACGACGTCAATTCAGCGTCTTGAACCGCAAATTTCTTACCTGACGATGATCCTGGTTCACCATTTGCGGCCCGGTTCACAATCTGATCGAAAGTGTCACCCAAAACCTGGTTCAACAACGGCGTGTTGGACACATTTCTCAGGTTCCATTTATACCAGGCATAGCTTGTATCCAACCTGGAGAAGATTGATTGATTTGAGTACCGCAACATACAAACGCCGTACCAGACGATGACCCGGGTTTTATCGGGGCAGAAGCTTAAAGCATCAGACCGGGCGGATGTCAAGCAGTCTTTGCAATCGCTGGTTGATACATCGCCTCGACAGAGAAATAGGCCGTAAACAGCATTGTCGCCACTTCCGGCTGAGTAATTGTAGAAGCCATTTGGTTGAGAAGCATTCGAGACTAAATCAGAGAGCACTGAATCCAGGTTATTCCTGTAAGCACTGCCATTAGCAGTACTATTGTCGTAAAATGTATCATCGGGGCAATAAATTTTCAGTCTATCAGCGCTGCAGAAATGGAAGCTGAATAAAAATGTGGTAAGAAGGAAGCAGAGTAAGGACATCACCAATTGATTTCTGGAAATCATCATGGTAACTGAATTTGATGGGTTTATCAGGATTCGTACGTTTTTAGAGATCGTAACTCTTTAATTTCGATGCAGGATGGATGTGAAGAGGGTGGCTGATTAAGAGAAAAGAAAGATATGGTGGTCGTCCGGGCAGGGGAATGGGGGAGTAATGATAAAGAAAGAACCAGTGTCATTTCCGCTGATATTGACTGGAGTGGAAGACCAAAAGACTAGTCAACGGGGATGGGTTATTGTAACTTTAGCCATCGCAATTAACAAAACATGATGCACGTCCTTTTTGTTAATTAAAAAAAGGATTTATGCTAATACACTTTAATCTTTAATAGGAAAAAGAATTTCCATTTTCATGAAGTGAAATCAAATGATTGTCGTATTTTTAATTCAACAATTTATACCCTTTTTTTTTCATTTGAAAAAAGAAGAATTATATATGTTGCATATGCTTTAATTTCCCAGCTTCTATTCAGATTAATTCTCTTGCTTGCACAGAATTAGATTGTACTGAAAGATTCAAAACTTTGGAATGAATTTTAAAACTTTTCAAGATGGGGGAAAGAAGATGGTTGATTCTCATAGTCAAGGGACCAATAGTATAACTTCGATCTTCCACGAAATACTGTTCCTTCTACGGGTTTTCGTATTCACACATCTGGAAATTAAGTTGACCGACGACGATTGGAGAATAATAAACAATTAAAAATCCCAATAGAATATTACCGCAGTGAAGGTATTCAGTATTCACACATCTTTAGTGTCCATTCTAGTCTTCTAGACGAAAGAACCTCTCATAGTCATTTAATTACACTTAGAATGTAATCACGGCCGCCACCATGTGATATATTGTACCTAACAGATTACTCCATCCATTCCTTGTAAGACATTTTGATTTTATCTTAGATTTTACCTAAGATATTTTTTTAATTGGAAAAAAAACTTTAAAAGTATATTTTCACATTTTTTGTAGGACATGTTTATAAGATTTTTATTCCAATTAAAAAGACATTCTAGATGAAATTTAAGACAAGATCAAAATGCCTTATAACAAGTACGAGAGGGAATACAATATTTTGTGACGTTTATGCTATCTTTAGTAAGTACTGGAGTAGATCTCTCTGGATTCAAAACACCAAAATTAAATAGGTTTGATTTGATCGAAGAAAAGGCATGCAAGTATGCAAGAAGACTTGTAACTACTTCCATAAGATGTACTTAAATAAAGAAAAAAAAAATTAAGTAACTATGTGAGCGAGTTTAGCTAAAAAGAGTGGTGAAGAAGAAATTAAGGTTTTGATAACCAACACTGAAGAAATTATCTTGATTATCAATATTTCTTGACGAATAGGAAAATTACAATATTGTCTCCCAGCCACTCTATTTAATCATAGATGTGGATCATATGATAATCACGATGCTCCTTTTACAAGAGTTCTGAATATCACGCTGAGCTAGAAATGGAGGACCCGAAATGGCCCCCAAGGAGATACTCACTACTCACTATATAGCTGCTGCAAGGTTGATTCAGTTATTTGAGTAGTTGCACTTGTTATGGATTCAACATATAGCATATATATATACTCTTTCTTTGCTAAAAGGAAGTTATGTTCGGTACAACATAAAGGACTTTTGTTTTGAGCAAGTAATTATCTTTTTTTTTTAATTAAAATAAACCAAATAGACACATTCAGTGGAACAGAGTTGATCAACAGTCCAATATCCAGAATTAATCCAAACCTCAACCAAGACGGGATCATCATCAGTCTAAAATCCACAATCAATCCAGAAATGAAGTGGCCGCCACTCTTGTGGTTTCACTTTTTTTATTTTTTATTTCTTATCACTGGGAAAAAATTTGGGGTGCTACACAAAAATACAATGTGAACCTATCTAATCCTAATCCGAAGAGTGACAACACTAACACAAGAATAATATAAACACCCCGACAGAAAAAAAATGTTGAACCGTACACAGGCAAACATGATTACAGGAACAAAGATACAATTGCCACCCCTGCTTTCACCTAGGATAAAGTTCAGTGATAGAGTCTTCATTTCTTGAGGATTTCAACAGTGATGATTCATCGGTTGATGATTGAACCGGCTGTCCAAATGGTTGCCCCGTTGGTAATCTCTCAGTTCGTCGACTAGGGCCGAATAATGCAGGTGAGTTTGGGGTTGGAAGTGTGACCGAATAACTATTCAACATCAGTACTACTGAAGCCATGGTAGGTCTTAATTCAACATCTTCTTGAACGCATAGTAAACCAATGTGAATGCATTGAATCACTTCCCTTTTGTCGCATGATTCACTTATAGTCGGATCAAGCAATGCTAACGGGGTTCCATCTCTCCAAAGTCTCCAACACTACAGATTTCAAATGTAATAATATGGTACTACATTAAACGATTTTCAAGAGTGCGTAATGAAAAAGACTGATGATGTTATTGGCTCATCAGGAAGTTAATTCAGTTTGGAATTACTTACATAACTTAAAAGATCATCACCAGCATTTGATTGTAAGAAGCTACTGTTCTTCTTTCCACTAACAATCTCCAAGACCAAAACACCAAAGCTGAATACGTCTGACTTGACAGAGAACATCCCATGTAATGCGTATTCAGGAGCCATATAACCACTTGAAAAAAAAAATAAAAGGTAACGGGGAAACAGAAATTAGCGCTATTAAGTTTTAGATAATTCATGGAAAAGGAAACGCCGTAGATTTACTAATTGAATACTTCAGAAATATCTTTAGGATACACCCAAAAATGACAAAATGGAAATGCAAAACTTACAATGTGCCAGCTATTCTGTTTGTGTTGGCCTCAGATTGGTCAAACTCAAAGAGTCTCGCCATGCCGAAATCTGCAATCTTTGGATTCATATTTTGGTCTAGTAACACATTGCTAGCTTTAAGATCACGATGTATAATCTTAAGGCGAGAATCTTCGTGAAGGTAGAGAAGTCCTCTAGCTGTCCCTCCTATGATTTTGTACCGTGTTAACCAATTTAACAAAGATCGTTTCTCTTTATCTGCATCAGGTAACACAAAAAAAGAATCAGCAATCCAATTGCTTATTTCTTTTACCCTTAATATACGTGACACTTAATGAATATAAGCCTTACCAAAAAGGAAGAAATCAAGGCTTCTGTTAGGAACGTATTCATAAATGAGCAGTTTTTCTTCTCCTTCCAAGCAAAAACCCAATAGTCGAACAAGATTTCTGTGCTGAAGCTTGGCAACTAGTGCAATTTCATTGATAAATTCTTCAGTACCTTGGGATGAGCCTCTGGACAATCTCTTCACTGCTATTGTTTGTCCATTTGGCATTGTACCCTGACAATTGAAAGAAAATAAGTGTTTTGATTTACAAGAATTCATTTGATAGGAGTTTATTATCCTAACTATTTCAACTGTACCTTGTAGACGGGACCAAATCCACCTTCACCAATCCTATTCTGAATCGCAAAGTTGTTGGTACAAGCTTGAATTTGTCCAAAATTATACTGCAAGGATTCTCCATTACTGGTTATACTGCTAACACCTGTAGTAAGAATAGCAGTAACAGAGTAAAATTAGTCCTAGTATTTTGGATAATTACTTAAAGGGTAAGTATTCTTAAATTTTGAAGTTTCTTTTTGTTACTAAATGATTTCTTCATATATATTTTTAGTCACCTGATGTTTCATGCACGACTCTCTGTCTCTTTTTTGCCTTCCTTATAAAGCAGAAGATGGCCAAAACCGCAACTATGGCAGCAATTGGGACGACAATGGCTATGATGGTTGTCGTTGAGATTCCATCTTTATATGTAAACATCCGAAAGAAATACACATGTTTTTAGTATAAAAATGAAAGCAAACACAACCTTAATTATTACTCAATGTTTATGGCTTTTAATCTTGGTCGGCTAGCTAGAAAATTTGAGAAAATCAATTAGTCCAACAACATCTATGAGTCTTAATCTACTGTGACCCAATGGATAGGAATCAAATACAGACCAAAGAAATGAACAAAATGGGCTGGCTTACCTTTACCTTTAGTGCTCGAGGTAGTAGGACTCAGAGAAGGAGGTGGAGGAGGGGTGGAAGTAGGCGGCTCCGGTGGCGGAGGCGACGGAAGTTGATAAAAGGGACCGCTCTCGTACCGGATATTACAGCTGGGATAAAGAACTCTGCCTCCCTTACGACTATTACAGCAGTTGGGAAGATTCTGAATAGCATTTCTAAGGCAAGTATCACACTCCAAACTCGAAAGATCAGGAGTGCACTGCCCCAGCGCGTAAATCCTCTGAAACGACGTGAATCTAGCGTCTTGAACCGCAAACTTCTTTCCGGAGTTCGGGTCACCACTTGAGGCCCGGGAAGCAATCTGATCGAATACGTCACCCAACACCTGGTTCAACAAGGACGTGTTGGTCACATTATTCACGTTCCACGATAACCAGGCAACTCCGGAATCCAGCCTGGAGAAGATTGATTGATTCGAATACCGCAGCATACATTTGTCGTACCAAATTGTGACCTGGTTTTTGTTCGGACAGAGGTTTAAAACATCTGTCGCGGCAGTCGTCAAGCAGTCTTGACAATCACCGGTTGATACATCTCCCCGACAGAGGAAAAGGCCGTAAGCGGCCGTGTCGCCGCTGCCGGCGGTGTAATTGAAGAAGCCGCTTGGTTTTGAAGCGTTTGAGACTAAAACAGAGAGGAGGGAATCAAGGTTGTTTCTGTAAGTCCTGCCAATAGCAGTTCTGTTGTCGTAGACTGTATTGTCGGGACAATTTATGGTCCGAGTATCAGCGTTGCAGAGATGGAAGCTGAGTAATAACAATGTGCTGAGGAAGATGCAAGAAAATAAGAACCGCACTTGATGTCGAGAGATCATGATCTTGGTGATTGAATTGCTTGGCATCAATCAAACGTCAAAATGTCAAACTCTTTTCAATCCCAATGGCGGAGAATACATTGAAGTGGGTAGTTTGTTTTGATCAAGGTATGGTGGTCCATCTCCGGGAGTAATGACGCGTTTGGACAGGGAAAAAGGTTTTCGGTATGTTACGGAAGACTTTGGGTCTAAAAGGCTTAAAGAAGTCTTCCGTGTTTTCCCCAGCGTGCGGTTGACCGGAGTTATGAAACCAGGACAAAAATGACTTGTGTCGTTATCGTCGATGTTGACTGGAGTGAAGGATGACGATTAGTCAACTGGGAACCCAAATATCTCACTCCCTCTACTTCCAGATTATTTCGTTTTTGTTGACTATCTTATGAAAAAAATCACTTTGGATTTTTCAACTTTCTTATTTTAAACTATGTTTTGAAAATCGGACCGGAAGACAAACCGATAAACCTAACTTGGATTACTTATTCGAATCGGTCTCTAAAACCAGTAAAAATCAACTACCAAACAGATTTTAAAAAATAATTTCTGTTCAAAAAATTGTTCAACCAATATCGTTTTCTGGTCGAATTATGGTTTTACACGGATTCGATTGAGTTTGAACGGTTTAAATGAACCGGTTATTTATTGTAACCTGATCATAAAGGCCTCCAATTTTCAAAGAAACTGGTTCGCTTGTCCTGTTTGATTTGATGTTAAAATAGAGATTTAAAATTAAAAAAGTAAAATAAAAATCACCCGAGATTGAACATGAAAAACTTACGCAGATAACAAGCATGCACATGATTTTCTAAGGATAAGAATTGGTCTAAATTCCCCAAAAACTTGAGGGTGCTTTTGATGAGATGCGGCCATTGTAATTACTCATTCAAAATTAATTGTGTACGTTGTATGGATTTTTTATTTTTTTTTGGTGGTATATTACGCTGTATGGATTCTAATTTACTGGAAACTAGTTAAATCCCGTGCAAAGCACTGGAAATTAAAATATTTTATCTTATTTTATAATATATTATATAAAATCATAAAATAAGAATTTAATTAGTCATGCTCTCCTATTTTATTAAAATTAAACTAACTTTTACAATTGGAAACCACGTAAATAAAAGTATAAGTGCAGTACGATGAAAATGACACAGTTGATAATTGACTGAAAATGTTAAAATCATGTCTTGGAATGGTAAATTGAATCATTGTTTTTTGAAAAGGTAATTGAATCATTGTTATTGTGTCAATTTTCTAAAATGTGGTCATTTCGATAATTTACAAAGTTCTGAAGAATAATTCATACTTCTGATTTTGTCAAAGTGACAATTTTGATAGTTCTGATTTGTCAAAATTAGACTTTTAGGATAAGAACGCATTGGTCTTATTGGAGATGTTCTAGTAGTAGAATCGTCTTGTTAATATTAATTGGACAATTATAATTAAGGATTTGAAAAGTTAGCATAATTAAGGATTGGAGAAGTTAACTGTTTTTTTTTTTTTTCACAAAACTAAGTCATTTTTTGGACAAAAAATGGTTGAATATGAAAGTGACACGTTAGTAAATATTTTCTTTTAGACTTTTGCTTTAATAGGATGTATATTGATTCATGTGTATACATGTTATTGAGGTGACTGTTTTACGTAGAATTTAGAGAACTTCTCCTAATTAGAGAAAATTGGATCAACCTTGAAACTGAGAAATGAAACTAAAACATTTGTAAGATGCTCAACTCCAAAAGTCGAGGGACCAATGGTATAATTATTCATGGAGCTTTCGAGCTTCAGGCTCTGTTTGATAATCACTTAATATGGTGACTTAATTTATTTAAGTACTTAATGAAATTAAGTGTGTTTGATAATCGCTACTAAAAAGTTTTAATGAATTAAGTTCTGAACTAATTAAGTACTTATTAATTAAGTGCGTTTGATAACTAAAATTTCACTGTCTGAATTAATTAAGTGTATCTGAATGATCAGTTCAATTGAGAGCCAAAAAATAAGTGATAGGCCTACCACTTATCACTTATCACTTAACACTTAATTTCTGTATTAATTGATTTTTTTTTTCCTTTTTTCACTCGTCTTTATTTCAACGTTTACTTTTACATTGTTTTAAAATTTTTATTTTCTTAAGATAAATTAATTAAGAGTGCTTAAATTTGAATTTATATTATGAGCATAAAAAATCTCAAACTTTCAAACTGAAATTAAACTAATTTTAATACATAAAATTTTCTAAATAACAAGATATATATATATATATATATATATATATAGGGAGCGACTACAGTCCAGTCGACTGAACGGTTCAGTCAATAATATTAACCGTTAAATGACAAGAAACGATTATCACCGTAGGATTAAAAGATGAGGAACACCAAACCCAAAAAACAAGCATAACACTGGATCGTTCATATGTAATAAACAAAAATTAGTTTTCATTTTTTTTCCTTTTCGATTTTTTAAGTCTTTGAAATGTAATACATTAATTTATCTTTCAAGAACCAAAACAAATAAAATGGTAATTGTGCGTCTAACGAATGAACTCAAAAAAAAAATAGATCATTGATTTTTTTATTTTTTTTATTTTTAAACGAAAGTTCACACTGGAAGTGAACAATATTCAATACTTTCCACCATAAACAAAAAGAGTTCAAACAAGATTTACAGTACAATAATGCACAACAGCATCCACAACGATATGCTTATTCAAACTTGAAATTTTAGTGCCATAATATCTGCATTCTGCAATATACAAATGATGAGGTCCATAGATAGCACCACCCACACATGCTTCTTCCAAACCTTCTTAGCTTTCTGATGCCCCATTTCCCCAGCAGCATATAATCCATTTTTGCTGCTCATCACCACCCTAAACTCCGAGCTTAGTCCAATCAACCCATCATCAGACCCATCCAATACCTTAACACTCTTTTCATCTTTCTCATTTCCACCAGGTCCAACCAAGCATCCACCCAATAAAAATCTCTTCTTCTTCTTCATCATCAAATTCTTGGACCCATTAGCCAGCAACGGCCTTCCAATAGGCACACTCCCTCCTCCAGTTACCGAAGAATCCGTGCTCACATTCCTGCCATGACCAGATTGAACCCCACTGGGAAACAACAACATCCAAATCCCCGCAAGTCAACAGCTGGTGTAAAAACGGGGTTGAATTCCCCCTTGAAAGAATGAGAACTCAGATGCTCCAAACGCTTCTTCCCTGAATTAGTCCCGACAACGTCATTAAACGCGTCTTTGACACCCTTGAGAAAGGCCAACCCTTCAGAATTCTCGAGCTTCTCATAAAAAATGGCAAAATAAACAAAAGGGTCCTCGATTAAGAAGGTGTAGGTCCTCTGGCGCACGGTGTGGGAGAAAACCGAATGCAGAGGCGAGGTCTTGCCGAGGCATTCCCGGGCTAGGGATCCAAGATCCGCATGCTTCGAATTGAATTCAGCAAGAATTATGGTCCCTCTGGCTACGCAAGCGTAGTAAATTAGATTCGGATCCGAAACCATCGTCTCCCCACCGCCTGCTTTGAATAACATTCAAAAGAATCTCCTTCTGAAGACCTCAAAGACCCAGAACAACTTTCTTATATAGGAAAAAAAAAAAGGGTCCAAGGTTGATTCCCAGTTTAACTCTGAACCCTTTCAACATATAGATCATTAATCCTCAGAAAATCACAAACAACATTACTAATCAAACATCAGCAAATGGGATCATGCATTTTACTCCTTTTTCAATCAACTGTAGATTTAATTTGTAGTCTGAAACCAAGATAATTTAAGGTTCTGTCCATGTTTTTCTTCTTAGTATAGTTCATTGTGATCGAGAAAAATTTAAGCCATAGTTGAGATTATGATCCCTTCTTATTTATGCTTCTGAAGGAATAACAAAGACTAAACCCGGTTCTTGAAATTTTCAACAAACTATTATTAAATTGAGGACGGTGAATAAGCAATCAATTTATGATTTTTTGTGATTAAATTGGCGAACTTTTTGGTGCTTTTCCTTATGAATCTTGTACGGGTAAATACATCTTAGAATGTTTCAATGACACCAAAATTGAGAAGAGAAGCTAAACGTGGGTAGAGGGAGGAACTGTGTTTTGCGTACTGTAGATCTTCTTTTTTTAAGAAAAAAAAACGAAATAATTTCCTTTATATCGATTTGGAGTTTAGTTTTATTTTAAAAAATAAAATGTAGCGTTTATCTTTACTGCAAATTAATGAATAATTATTTATCTTAAAAAATTATCTAATTAGCAAATCAATAATTGACATGAATTTGTTAGAATACATCTCACCCTATGCACATCTCATGGGTACTCAATTTTAATTGGATAGACTCCAACTGAACGGTTCAGTCAAAAACTTACGACTGGACCATAGAATTTCTCATATATATATATATATATATATATATATATATATATCTTGTTATTTAGCAAGTGTTATATCTACTTTCATTATATACACAAAAATTTATTTTAAAATTATTATTTTATTATTTAGAACAAAATATTAGTTATGTTTCTATTTAAAAGAATTTTGTTTATAATTCAATTTTAATGATATTAAAAATTTAAATAATTTTCGGACCTGAGTATTCAGATTCAATCTTCAGTCTTCAGACTTCAGACTTCAATCTTCAGACATCAAATTCAGATGTTTTTATCAAACAATGTAAATTCAGTCATCAGACTTCAGTGTTAAGTGTTCAGATTCAGACTTCAGTGATTATCAAACGGGGCCTCAATCTCCATCTTCCAGATTTATAGTTTATCACACTAGTTGAATAGATCAATGGGGACTTTATGGGCTAATGATATTTAAAGACATTTTTCAACTCTAACTCATTTGCTGTCTTTTAAAGCAAAATGATAGTCTCCATCGGTAACTTTTGTGTGTCACGTAATTTGATTAGTCTGCAAAAACAAATTTCATAAAGGCTCTACGTGGAGAAATTTTTTCTTTTCAAAAAACCTGATATATATTGAGTTGACCGGCTACTAGCACATAAACAATTATACTATGCGACTGTATGTGCCCATTTGATAGGAACATTTCTACACTGCTAGCGATTTATCAAATTTATTGTCGAGTCCGTTTCTAGATCCGAAAGGACCTCACTTCTCACCCACTTTGATTAGTATTTCACTAGCTTGAACTTGAATGAGTTGCAGAATGGCTCAACCTTAGTTTCCAGTTATATAGTGGGGGTGAATTATCCTATTATTATTATAGGCCTTTACCAAATAACGACAATGTCTAGCTATATCATTTTCCCAAATGTTTCAAAGAAATACCATTTAAGTTTTATTTTGGGAGAAAAAATAACTTAAATGTTATCACACGGTCAAGTAACTGTACGTTAGGATCTATATTTTATTGTTTTTCTTGCCAGGTGTGATCCACAATACTACAACTCCAAAACATAATACATCGATCTGATTATTTGACGGAGAGAAGATTGTGCAATATCGAAAATCAAAATACATGTAACTTCCATAACATAGTCAGTTTAGCTAACCGTGATTGAGAAAAGTTACTTAGCTTCTTCTTTCATCTAGGATAAAGTTCAGCGATAAAAGCGTCATTCCTTCAGAATTCGTTCTGTGATGATTCGACGGTTGACAATGATCTAGCCAACTGTGCTACATGCCGCGCGGTTCATTGACTAGGGCTAAATAATGCCGGAGGATTAGGATTTGAAAGTTTAACAGAATAGCTGTTCAACATCAGCACCGCCGAGGCCATTGTAGGCCTCAATTCAACATCTTCTTGAACGTAAGGTAAACCATTGTGAATATTTTGAATCACTTTGTTTGTATTGGAGGATTCGCCTATGCTCGGATTAAGCAATGCTTATGGTGCTCCGCATCTCTCCATAGTCTCCAAGACTAGTGTTGAAGTAGAAAAGACTGATGATGCTATTTGACCAAATATTATCCATTTCATGTAATTAATTTAGTTAGAAATTACTTAAATAACTTAATAGATCATCGCCGTCATGTCATTGTAAGAAGTTACTGCCCTTCTTTCCTCTTTTTATCTCAAAATCAAAACACCAAAATCGTCCGACTTGACTGAGATAATGCCAAGTAATGCGTATTTTGGAGGCATGTACCCACTTTAAAGAACAAAAAGAGATTTCAAAAAAAAAAAAAAAAGGTTAGCAGAATCATCATTCATTTTTATTTGAATACTTTTTTTGTCTCAAAAAAATAATTTAAACTAAATTTTAAAATTTGCACTATTTCTTTTTAAAAAAAAATCGAAAAAGTATTGAAGTTGTTGTTTAAAACGCAACCAAGAAGAAAGTAAGTAAAAATCCAAATGGTATCTAGTGATAGTTTTTCATGTAAACAACATGCACTTTAGATTCGTGCAGGTTGGAATGCAAACTTACAATGTCCCAGCAATTTTGCTTGTGTTGCCTTCAGATTGATCAATTTCGAGAGTCTTGCCAAGCCGAAATAACACAATTTCCGGATTCATATTTTTGTCTAGTAGCACATTACTTGCTTAAGATTGCGATGTATGATTTTAAATCGAGAATTTTCATGAAAATAGAGAGGGCCTCTTGTTGTCCCTCCAATAATTTTATAGCGTGTTGACCAGTAACTTTTCAAGATGAGGAAGGAAGATGGTCGATTCTCATAGTCCAGGGACCAATAGTATAACTTCCAAATTCTACGAAATACTGTATCTTTTACGGGTTCTCCACTTCTCCTCATACAATATGGAGATTTTGGAACCTGAAATGTATGGTCTAATAATATTCTATATTTTTGCTGTCCTTCGGTGCAAATTGTAGTCTTCATTAACTTTTTGCGTGACAAGTCTACCAAAACAACCTTTAGGCTTTTAGGCTTTTAGGCTTTTAGATCAAAACGAAAATAATCCATAAATTAAGTTGACCGGCAATTGGGGAATGAACATGTTTTCGTGTCCATTCTAGACGAAAGAATCTCTCTCAGTTTTTTTTTTTTTTCTACAATAGAGGAGGACAAAGTCTAAAAATCTAAACTATTACATTTTGTGAATAAAAACTCCCGACCAAATCGTGTTATCACCACATAAAGATCAAGTATAACAATAAAAAATCCAACCCTTCTAATTTGGGTATAATGAGTGACATCCATATTTCAAATAATACCACAACACCATTCTTCAAACACTCATTTGGACTGTAGATTCCAAAGTCGTCTCATCTCTCATACTTATTTAATTACACTTAATCTTGTTTATGGAGAGATAAATAACTCATGACTTCCATCGTAATTAGGGGCCGCTAGCCCGCTACAGTGTGATTGTAAGTAACAAACTATAATTTCTTTTGACGTCTGTGCCATCTTTAGTAGGTACTGGAGTAGGTCTCTCTGAATTCAAAATGCCAAAACTGAATACATTTGATTTGATAGAAGAAAAGCCATGAACACTTGGAACAAATTAAGACACAATTGTCACCCTTGTGGTTTCAGTTTTTTCTTTTATCACCGGGAAGAAATTTGGGATGCTACACAGAAATACAATGTGAACCTAGCTAATCCTAATCCGAAGAGTTACAAGACTATCACAAGAATAATATAAACACCCGGACAGAAAAATGTTCAACCTTACACAGGCAAACATGAACACTTGAACAAAGACACAATTGTCACCCCTGCTTTCATCTAGGATAAAGATCAGTGAAAGAGTCTTCATTCCTTGAGGATTCCATCTGTGATGATTCAACAGTGGATGATTGATCCGACTGTGCGAATTGTCGCTCCGTTCGTCTACTGGGGCCAAATAATGCCGGAGGATTTGGAGCTGGAATCGTAACTGAATAACTATTCAACATCAGAACCACTGAGGCCATGGTAGGTCTTAATTCAACATCTTCTTGAACGCATAGCAAACCAATGTGAATACATTGAATCACTTCCCTTTTGTCGCAGGATTCACTTATGGTCGGATCAAGCAATGCTAATGGAGTTCCATCTCTCCAAAGTCTCCAGCACTACAGAGTTCAAATGTAAAGATATGGTACAACATTAAACAGTTTTCAAGAGTGCGTATGGATCGAATAATGAAAGAGACTGATGATGTTATTTACTCAATTGTTATCCACGAATGTAAACATCAGGAATTTAATTAGGTTCCTAATTACTTACATAACTTAAGAGATCATCACCGGCATTTGATTGTAAGAAGCTACTGTTCTTCTTTCCACTTATGATCTCCAAGACCAAAACACCAAAGCTGAATACGTCTGACTTAACAGAGAACATCCCGTGTAATGCATATTCAGGAGCCATATAACCACTTGAAAAAAAAAAACCCAGAAATTAGTGTTATAAATTTTTTGATAAGTCATCAAAAAGGAAACGCAGTACACTTACTAATTGAATACTTCAGAAGTAATTTTAGGATGCACCCGAAAATGACAAAATGGAAATGCAAAACTCACAATGTGCCCGCTATTCTGTTTGTGTTGGCCTCAGATTGGTCAAACTCAAAGAGTCTTGCCATGCCGAAATCTGCAATCTTTGGATTCATATTTTTGTCCAGTAACACATTGCTTGCTTTAAGATCACGATGTATGATCTTAAGGCGAGAATCTTCATGAAGATAGAGAAGTCCTCTAGCTGTCCCTCCTATAATTTTGTAACGTGTTGACCAATTTAACAAAGATCGTTTCTCTGGATCTGCCTTATGTAAAACAAAAAAAGCCATTAATCGAATTACTTATTTTCTTTTAACCTTAACGTATGTAACACTTAATGAAATGAAACCTTACCAAAAAGGAAGAAATCAAGGCTTCTGTTGGGAACATATTCATAAATGAGTAGTTTTTCTTCTCCTTCCAAGCAATAACCCAACATTCGAACAAGATTTCTGTGTTGAAGTTTTGCAACAAGTGCAATTTCATTAATGAATTCTTCAGTTCCTTGTGATGAGCCTCTAGATAATCTCTTCACTGCTATTGTTTGCCCATTTGGCATTGTACCCTGACAATTGAAAGAAGTAAATCAGGGTTTTGGTTTTCAAGGATTCATTTGATATGAGTTAATATTTTCCCGACTGTTTATCAACTTAAAATGCACCTTATACACAGGACCAAATCCCCCTTCACCAATCCTGTTCTTAATTGCAAAGTTGTTGGTGCAAGCTTGAATTTGACCAAAATTATACTGCAAGGATTCTCCATTACTTGTTATACTGCTAACACCTGTAGTAAGAATCGCAATAACAAAGTAATATTAGTACTACTAGTTTGGATCATTATACTTGCTTGAAGGATTAACAATCTCAAATTTTGAACTTTTATGAACCACATGCTTTTCTTGATATTATAACTCACCTGATGCTTCATGCACGACTATCGGTGTCTTTTTTGCCTTCCTAACTAAGCAGAAGATCGCCACAAGCGCAACTATGGCAGCAGTTGGGACAACAATGGCTATGATGGTTGTCGTTGAGATTCCACCTTTATCTGTAAACATACAGAAGAAATACACATGTTTTAATTGCTGTTCATTAAAGGCTCAGAACTCCTGAAGAGAAACGTTCAGCTCATGCAATATTCAACCATCATTTCACTATGAAGAAACATATTGTGAGATATAATAAAATTAAATAACTAATAAAAACAGTGTGAGATAGATAAACATACACTAGAGTAGAATAGTAAAATTCTCATTTTTCATCCCTGTTTTTGAAAATTACACATTATTAGAAGTCGAGGGAAACTCAACTTCAAAGGTATAATATATTACACACCCGGTTTTTGACGTTAAAATTCACTTTGAAAAAGAAAAAATCAACAAAGAAAAACAAAACATTATTAAAGAATTGAAGACAGTTGTATTGGGCCTAGCCACGAGTTCAGAATCCAGATCAATAAGCGATGGATGAAAAGACTCAAATAAGGCCTAAAATCCTTCCAATCATTTTCATGCCTTTCACTTGGTTTGCAGTATTAAAAAGGTCACCCTTTTCTGTGCAAGTTGTTAAAATAAAATTAACATTTCATGCAAATTCTAACTCGTTACTCTTCTTTGAAAATTTATCAGCAAACCCACTCATACAATTAAAAGATAAAATCCCCCCCAGTGGGCAAGCATATATAAGATTAAAAAATAAAATAAAATAACAAATAAGATGGGCCAGTGGGCTTACCTTTAGTGCTTGAGCTGGTAGGACCCAGGGAAGCAGGTGGAGGAGGGCTGGAAGTGGGCGGCTCCGGTGGTGGAGGAGACGGAAGTTGGTAAAACGGACCGCTCTCGTACCGAATATTACAGCTGGGATAAAGAACTCTGCCTCCCTGACGACTATTACAACAGCTGGGAAGATTCTTAATAGCATCCCTAAGGCAGGTTTCACAATCCAGACTTGAAAGATCAGGAGTGCACTGCCCCAGTGCGTATATCCTCTGAAACGACGTGAATCTAGCATCTTGAACCGCGAACTTCTTGCCGGAATTCGGGTCACCACTTGAAGCCCGGGTAGCTATCTGATCGAATACATCACCCAAAACCTGGTTCAACAAGGACGTGTTGGTCACATTATTCACGTTCCATAAGTACCAGGCAATGCTCTCATCCAACCTGGAGAAGATTGATTGATTTGAATACCGCATCATACATTTGTCGTACCATAGAGTGACCTGGTTTTTGTCCGGGCAGCGGCTTAGAGCATCCGTCGAGGCGGTCGTCAAGCAGTCTTGACAATCACTGCTTGATACATCGCCGCGACAGAGGAACAGGCCGTAGGCGGCCGTGTCTCCGCTGCCGGCGGTGTAATTGAAGAACCCGCTTGGTCGAGAAGCGTTTGAAACCAAAGCAGAGAGGAGGGAATCAAGGTTGTTTCTGTAAGTCCTGCCATTAGTAGTGGTGTTGTCGTAAACTGTATTGTCCGGACAATTTGTAACCGGAGTATCAGCGTTGCAGAGATGGAAGCTGGATAATGTGCTGAGAAGAAGCCAAGATATTAGTAAGAGAACTCGATTTCTAGACATCATCTTGGTAATCATTGAATTGAATGGTATCAAACGTTTTTAGTGCCACAAAGAAAAACGTCAAATCTTCAATTTGAATGGGGTGAATTGAAGTGCGTAGTGGATCAAGCCATCAAGGTATGGTGGTCCATCTCCGGGAATAATGACTCCTTTGGACAGGGGAAAGGGATTCATTTGGTAAGATTGGGAAGACTTTGGGGGTTAAAGCAAGTCTTTTTCTGCAGTATCCGTGTTCCCCAGCGTTCAGTTGACCGGGAGTTATGAAACCAGGACAAAAATGACTCGTGTCGTTATCGCTGACATTGCTGGAGTGAAGGATGAAGAATTGTCAACTGGGAAATATCTCACTCCCTCAACTTCCAGATTACTTCCATTTTTGCTGACAGTCCTATTAAAAACGAAAGTTGGGGTCTTACAACTTTCCAATTTTAGATGAAACAAAAAAATTCGCTCGATATTGAACATGAAAAACTTAGATAAGAAACATATAGATACACATCATTTTTCTAAGGATAGTATATATAATTAATTTAAAGTTCCCAATAATTTAAGGGGTGATTTGATGAGATGATAATATCTAATCATGCATTGTATTTACTAATTCAAAATTAACTGTATACGTAGTACTAGGGATTCTAATTTTTTAAAGAATGATGTGTTATTGAAGTGACTCTTTTATTTAGAAAAAGAAGTTCTCTTAATTAGAGAAACTTAGGTCTTTGGAATAATGCTAAAACATTTGTAAAATTAGTCGGGAAGATGCTCAACTCCAAAAGTCTGAGGGACCAATAGTATAATTATGCCTAGATTTTACGATCTTCAACCTTCATCTGCCACATTATTTATCGGACTAGCTAAAGAGATCGACGGAGACTTTATTGGCCAATGACATTTAAACTCATTTTTTAAGTCTATTTTTTGCTGTCTTTTGGAGCAAATTATAGTCACCATCGCTAACCTTCGTGTGTGTCACGTAATTTGACTAGTCTAAAAAGAAGTAACTTTATAATGGGCTACGTGGAGGCACGAGGGGAGGAAACATCCTGAAATTGAGTTGACCCCCACAAAAAAAAATCCCCTTTTTTTCTTGCCTGGTACTATTTACTCATTCAAAATTAACTGTGTACGCTGTACGTAAGAAACTATTGTTTTTCTTGCCTGGTATGATCCTCAATACGAGAACTCCAAATTTCCAAAACATAATACATCTATCAGTGTACTTGAAGGAGAAATTAAAAGGCTGTGTACATTGGATACTCAAAATACATGTAACTCGCTTTTACTTTCATCAAGGATAAAGTTCAGTGATAGAATCGTAATTCCTTGAGAATTCCTTCTGCGATGATTCAACGGTATACTACAATCTATTCCACTGTGCTACATGCCGCTCTTTTTGCTGACTAGGGCGAAATAATGTCGGAGGATTCGGAGCTGGAATCGCAACTGAATAACTATTCAACATCACCACCACTGAGGCCATGGTAGGTCTTAATTCAAACATCTTCTTGAACGCAATGTAAACCAATGTAAATACATTGAATCACTTTGTTTTTGTTGTAGGATTCGCTTATAATCGGATCAAACAGTGCTAATGGTCCTCCATCTCTCCAAATTGTCCAAGACTAGAGTTGAAGTGAAAAAGACTAATGATGCTATCCGACCGAATATTATCCATTTCATGTAATTCATTTAGTTAGAAGTTACTTTCATAACTTAAAAGATCATTGTCGTCATGTGATTGTAAGAAGTTACTGTTCTTCTTTCCATTTTTTATATCCAAAATCAAAACTCCAAAACCGAATACGTCTGACTTGACTGAGATAATGCCATGTAATGTGTATTCTGGAGGCATGTAACCACTGTAAAAGAACAGGAAAAAGGATTTTATTTTTTTAAAAAAAAATAAATTTTAGCAGAATCATCATTCGTTGTTAATTGAATACTCACTTTGCGTCGAAAAAATAATCCCCACGGAAATTTTAAGATTTGCACTATTATTTCAAACAGAGAACATGCAGAAAACATGCACTTAAATTCATTGTTGGAACAATCTCCCAGCAATTTTGCTTGTATTAATTGCCTTCAGATTGATCAATTTCGAAGACTGTTGCGAAGCGGAAATCAACAAGATTTGGATTCATATTTTTGGGTAGTAGCACGTTACTTGTTTCTTTGAGTCAAAATTGTATTTGAAAGTGAAACCCGATTCAGCTAAAATTAATTTCAAACGATTATGTGATATTCGCGAAATGCGAAATTCAAACGTTGAAATTGTCACAAGATGCCATTACCTTTGACATAAAATTAGTTTGAATATCAAGAACGTGTGTCGACAAAATAATAAAGAACTCTGAAGAGATGAATAAAACGGCCGCAAAGGTCAACTTTATTGCTTTGATGAAAAACGTATCGGCTGTGAATGGTTAGAAAACGTAGAAAACTTATGCTAATCAATACAAGATGTAAAGAAATGCAAAAAAGCTTGAAAGAGAATAAATGGCAAAAAATTATAAAGAAGACTAAAATATTTGATTCTGCATGATAAATTGTATGTGTCTGCCGTATCTTCTTCATAGCCTTTTATAGATAATTCGTCAATCCTAGTTGGATTGCAACCAAAATCGAATCTGATAAGAACTTCTGTTGCAGTGGGAATCCTTCTCCGACAAGAATTTGACTGCCGACAAGTCCTTTTCCAACTCAAACTGCCGATTGAGGCTTTGGCTTTGAATTTGCAATTACCTGCGGGCTGCCCGATATTTTCTGCCTTGAACTGTTGCTGCGATTGGCCCAACTCATGTGGACCAGGTTTGCTAAAATTGGTTCAACATTATTTTTAGATAGCGGTGTATGATTTTAAGATGAGAATTTTTCATGAAGGTAGAGAAGACCTCTTGATGTTCTTCCAATCATCTTATACCTGTTGACCAATTTAACAAAGATTCCTTCTCTTGATCTGTATTAGGTGAGACATTATGTATAGGCTGGTTTAACAGTAAATTCGCCTGAAACTATGACTTCCATAATAAATGTTGTCACAATCTCATAAATGAACATACAAACTCGATAGCCCAAGAAAGAACAAAGGAAAAAAAAAGCTTCATTTTTTCAGGTGAAAGTTCACCGTCATAAGACTCCGTTCGTATTATCAAAAACTTTCCTAAAGGTAAAATAAAGAAAAGGAGGCAAAACCTAAATTACTCCTAGATCCGATTCCGACTAATCATCAAACTAGAAGAATCTATTAAGCCCTTAGGATTCCGACAATATGGTAATTACAATAAGGGAAAAATTGGATTAGAGGCGGTAGAGACATCTAAATTAATAAAGGGGTATAACTCTTCCATAATTTGGATTAGAGGCAGCGATTTACTTTCTAAAATTTAAAAAATTAAAATATTTATCCTTTCACATGATTGCCCTTATTTTGTATTACATAAAAAATTTAAAAAACAACAAAATCCATTTTTCTCTTGTCTATCGTTCTTGGCTCAAATTTCTGGATCCTAAAAGCATCTTCTGCAAAATCACAAGTATCATTCACAACAATCTAATTAATATATTACAAAATCAATTAATTTTCCACAAAATATCCAATTTTCTTTTCTTGATTCACTAGAAGATATGTTCTTGTTCATCCCTGTGGTTTGCTTTTTTTATTTGCACAAAATTCCTTTTTTGGATTGCAATGTATTTGACTATTTCTTACTTTTTTGGAATATGATTATTCATGTATTTAGGGTTTTGATATTGACATTGTTGTTTTCATGCTTGATTATAAAATATTGATGGAAAGGTGATATGAATCCAATTTGATATGTAGAAAATCTATTTACAAAGTATACAGGCATATTTTAATTTGATGATGAGATTGAGGAAATTGTACCATTACATTTGAATGTTCAATGTTGCTGTTGGAGCAAACAATCTATGATTATGGATTATAGTTATTAAATTGCATAAGACTCATTGTAAAAGAGAAAGGGTAATTCCGTCACTATCTAAATATTTTAATATTAAAATTTGTGTAACTTAATTTACTGCCCCTAACTCAAATTATGAAGGAGTTGAGCCCCTTTAATTAATTTTGATATTTCCACCGCCCTTAATCCAAATTTTCCCTTACAATAATATACCGTTCAGTAACTTCTTTACTCCACCTCAAGTTGGAGCATATAAGTTTACAATGCCCAATTTCCTCAATAGTGTATGAAACTGGTCACATCCCAAAGTTTTAGTGAAAAAATCCGCCAATTGGTTTTGCGAAGAAATAAACTATCTCGATATGCTGTCGAAAAAAATGAAAATCTATCTCGATATGTTTCGTACGCTCATGAAACACCGGATTAGCAGCCATATGAATCGTCGCTTGATTGTCACAATGAGGAGAGTAGCCCGTGAAACTTGTATATTATTACAAAGTCTCTCACAGTACTAATGTGGAACAAACATAAACAAAGGGATTTCATCATACTAAATCACCAGATACACTGTCGGGTTAGGAAAACAACCGTAGAATAACATCACGGCGGGTTAAAATTCACCATAGGCTGAGCCCTCTCTGATATCATATAGAAATCCATAGGGTTCTACCTCAAAACTAATTGACAATAAGGGGAGTAACCCATGGTGCTTATATACTGATACAAAGTGTCTCCAGACACCAATGTGAGATAAATACTTCAACACAACTTTATGGCAAAAATTATTGATCGTAACAATGGACAATCTTTTATAATTTAGTGTTGATGTAGTACAATGGTGATGGATTTTACTAATGATGAACGATTTTTTATTACTTTTGTCTAAAAAAAATCTAATTTTACAAATAGATATCTTAAAATTAGACTTATGAGATTAGTATAACCTAACATTGATTATTAAATTGATAAGTAATAATGAAACTTTATTCATTTTTTTCATGTTAATTTTTTAATTTACAAGATTAAGTCATCTAAATTTATATTTTAATTTTTGAAATTAAACTATTTTTTTGGACGAAAGTAGTATAATTTAATGGTCATGTGATATGATGAATTGTTTCGTTAGTTTCGGATGGTCGTGTATTTTGTGCTAAACATAAAAGCGGGGAATTCAAAGGGTACGTGCAACAATATTTGCTTATTCATTGTGGTATAGTAAATCAAATTACATAAAAGCAGTATTACAAAGAACTAGATGCTTGGCCCAGGCAGATGTTCGGGCGCCCCCTCTACTTTAATTTTGTGTTAATAGATAAATGAATTTTTGATTTGGAAAAAATAAAATAACTACACATTTATTTTTTCTCTTTTTTAGCCAAAAATAAAAATAAAAATAAAAAAATCATCTGCAAAAGGAGAAAAAATATTGAAAAGTACACCGATGCAGAAATCATACAAAAGAATGTGGAGTAATAAAAGAGATAAGTTTATGGACAAATTTAAATGGTATCTTAATTTGATTGATAAATGATAAGTGTTAGGAGTTAAAATTGTGTAGCTATTTTTGTAAATTAGCTTTTGTTTTTCCGGATAAGAAGTTTTTTTTTCTTTTAAAAAAGGATGACACGTGGCAGAATGGTTAAAGCAATATGGTGCATTTGGAGCCAAAATTTTTTAATTAGAAATTGCCACATCAACCTCATTTATTCTGCTTTAATAGGGTAAAAGGGATGAGAAAATAATAGGCCTAAAGTGTATGAATGAAGATCAAACCATAAAACGAACGGGCACCCCTCAAAAATTGGCAAGAAATGAAGCCAATGCAACCAAACTCAGGAAGAGGGCTGTCTTGCTAATTAGGCTTCCGTCATTTGTGCTTGTTGGGACCGTCTTTAATGCTTCTCCACCTGTATAGTAGTATTGCATTCAACCTTTTAAAATTTTTACCCTTATGATCCAAATTAAAATCTATCTTCTAGTTCTAGATATTAAAAAAATTAATGAGTATTGATATCAAAAAATTAATCAATAAAAAAAGTTGAAAACATTAGTGTGAGACGGTGGGCAAGAAAAGCAAATCAGATGGGCCGGCGGGCTTACCTTTAGTGCTTGTTGCTGTAGGACCCGGAGAAGGAAGAGGTGGAGGAAGGCTGGAAGTCGGCGGCTCCGGCGGTGGAGGCGACGGAACTTGGTAGAAAGATCTACTCTCGTACCTAATATTACAGCTGGGAAAAAGAACTCTAGCTCCCTGACGAGCATTGCAACAACTGGGCAGCTGCGAAATAGCAGTTCTAAGGCAAGTTTCACAATCCCAACTGGAAAGATCAGGAGTGCACTGTCCCAGAGCGTATATCCTTTGAAACGACGTGAATCTAGCGTCTTGAACCGCAAACTTCTTGCCGGAATCCGGATCACCGTTTGCGGCCCGGGCGGCTATCTGATCAAATACATCACCCAACACCTGGTTCAACAAGGACGTGTTGGTCACATTGTTGAGGCTCCATAAGCACCAGGCAACTTCCGCGTCCAGCCTGGAGAAGATTGATCGATTTGAATACCGCAGCATACATTTGTCGTACCAAATTGTGGCCTGGTTTTTGTCCGGGCATAGGTTTAAAACATCCGTCCGGGCGGATGTCAAGCATTCTTGACAATCGCTGCTTGTAACATCGCCTCGACAGATGAAGAGGCCGTACACAGCTGCGTCGCCGCTGCCGGCAGTGTAATTGAAGAAGCCGCTTGGTTGAGAAGCGTTTGAAACTAAAACAGAGAGGAGAGAATCCAGGTTGGTTCTGTAAGTCCTGCCATTAGCAGTACTACTGTCGTAAATTGTTCTATTGGGACAATATACTTCCCGATTTTCAGCGTTGCAGACATAGAAGCTGAGGAGGAAGCAAAAATATAACAGCAGCTGATTTCGGGAAATCATCTTAGCAAATGAATTAATGGATGGGTGTCAGAATTCGAACGTGTTTATTTTAGTGCTGCGAATTCCTCTGTTTCAATGGAGAATGAATAGAACTTTGCAGTTGGTCAAAGATATGATGATCCGGCTTGGGATCTAGTATTACCAATAACGCGTTAATTTGGAGACTGGAGTTTGGACTTTGGACTGGGAAAAAAGGTTTAGACTTGACTTAAAAGTAAGTCTCCTCCGGTGCCCATATTCCCCGGCGTTTGAATATTGAGTGCGAGTAATTATGAAACCAGGGCTAATGAACAGTGACCAGTGTCATTATCGTTGATATTGACTGGAGTTGGAGGACGAAAAGAAATTAATGGAGAGTGCTTGTTACTCTCTTGATTCCAGAAAAAAATGAACAATTTTTATCCTTTGTTTTAATTTTGATGGAGTAAAGCAATTAAACTATTTATATATCGATTTTCGGGTAGATGATCTCATCCCTCTACTTCGAGTATTCGTATAAATAGTTTCAGCTTTGGTCTATCAATTTTAGCTGTCATTTCCAACCTAATGCAACTGCTGTAATAGCTCATGATGGAACTTGAAAAACTCAAAACATGAAAAAAAAAAAAAAAAAAAAACCTCATAACATGATACACATGACTTTTCTAAGGTTGAATAGGTCTAAATTACCCTAAACTTGAGGGGGAAAGCTGATCATTCGGATGAGATGAAATTAGTGACCCCGTAACTCATCTAGAATGTTATCATGAAAGTTTATTGCTTTTCTATTTTCACTTATGATCTCCTTAACCAAAACGGCAAAACTGAACACATCAATCTGACTTGACCGAGATTTGCAAATACTCCATCAGGAAACCTATAACAGTTTGTATATTGGTCTACTAAGCACGCTAATTTAAGATTTTAACCCGAGTTTCTTTATGAATAGAAAGAAGTCCACTTCTGTATGGTGTGAAAGTATTAAAGTTATTGCGAATTCTTCTAACTTGGGAAATGAAAAAGTAATTTTAAAGTAATGATAATTGTATTATTGTACAGATTCCATTTTTTTTTTTTTAATGTGCATTTGATGTTTGGGAATATGGATTTTATTATTCTATAAAGTAATAATTTTTTAATACCAACCAAATCGATATTCGGTCGAATGAGGGAAACAATCATCAGTCCAAAATTCAGAATTTATCCAAAGGTTCCAAATAGACATCTTAAAAGGATTATCGACAGTCCAAAATCGACCAATCAATCCATTCTTTGGTTCCTTTCTCTTTGATCTATGGGTTGTAATTTGCTAGGCTAATACACCACTATAGAGACCAATCGGAAACGACATATTTACAATACTTGGGGGAGGGGGAAGGAGAGAAACACAAGAATAATATGTTAACAGCCGTTGGGAAAATTCAAGATTCTAAACCACATATCCATCCGCGAAACATCAAACAATCAAACAAGACATGATTGGCACTTGTAGTGCTTTCATCCAGGATAAATTAAGTTCAGTGACAGAGCCTTCATTTCTTGAGGATTCCATCTATGATAGCTCAACGGTGGATGATCGATACGACTGTGCAACCTGTGGCATACTTGGACCAAATACTGCCGGAGGATTTGGAGTTGGAAGCGTAACAGAATAACTATTCAGCATCAGTACTACTGAGGCCATGGTAGGTCTTAATTCAACATCTTCTTGAACACATAGTAAACCAATGTGAATGCATTGAATCACTTCCATTTTGTTGTAGGAGTCTCTTATGCTCGGATCAAGCAATGCTAATGGTGTTCCGTCTCTCCAAAGTCTCCAACACTACAAAGTTTAAAAAAAAAAAAAAAAAAAAGAGAGAAATAAAAAAATTAGGACATTTTCCAGGATATAGGATAAAATGAAGCGACAAATGATGTCAGTTACTTAGATAGATATTATTTATTTCATGAAAATTAATTTACTTAGGAAGTACTTACATAACTTAAGAGATCATGATCAACATGTGATTGTAAGAATTTGCTGTTCTTCTTGCCACTTATGATCTCCAAAACTAACACACCGAAACTGAATACATCTGACTTGACTGAGAAAATGCCGTGCAACGCGTATTCAGGAGCCATATAGCCACTTCAATAAAACAAAAAGAAAAAAAAAAGAGTAAAACACGAGTAAGAAGAAATGATTAATACGATATATTAGTTCTCGGCCATTCATAAAAAGAGGTGGTGGTATCGTTATTACTAATTAAGGCTATGTTTCGAAGGTTTTTTGAGTATGTTTTTTTTATCGGGAATGTGAAAAGATATATTAGAAATGTAAAAACATGCATTAGGAAGGTAAAAAAGTATACTGAGATTGGATGGATATTAATTAAAAATTCTGAAAAAAATGAGTGAAAAAAGGAACCAAACATAGACTTCAGTAGTATTTTAGGATGCAACCAAAACGAATAAACTGGCAACCCAAATGGTCGATAGTCATAGTTTTTCTTCTAAACAGCGAAGACTCTTAAGTTTGGTTTTCGGAATGCAAAACTTACTATGTTCCAGCAATTTTGTTCGTGTTGGCTTCAGATTGATCAACTTCGAAAAGTCTGGCCAAACCAAAATCTGCAATCTTTGGGTTCATATTTTGGTCCAGTAATACATTGCTTGCTTTAAGATCACGATGTATGATCTTAAGGCGAGAATCTTCATGAAGATAGAGAAGACCTCTTGCCGTTCCTGCTATAATCTTGTATCGTGTAGACCAATTTAACAAAGATTGTTTCTTTTGATCTGCATAAGGCGACACAAAAAAAAAAAAAAAAAATCATGAAACGACTTATTTTTCTCTTTGATCCTTGCTAAAGAAAACGCATGTCGGATTGAAGCGTGCCTTACCAAATAGGAAGAAGTCCAGACTTCTATTAGGAACATATTCATAAATGAGTAGCTTTTCTTCTCCTTCCAAACAGTAGCCTAATAGTTGAACCAGATTCCTGTGTTGAAGTTTGGCAACAAGTGCAATTTCATTAATGAACTCTTCTGTACCTTGTGATGAGCCTCTAGACAATCTCTTCACTGCTACTGCTTGCCCATTTGGAAGTGTACCCTAAAAATAAAAATTTGTGAATCAATGCTTTGATCTTCAGTTATGAGAGAACTCTCAAAACTCGTCCTCCAGGATTAAAAGCGGGTTTTCAAGTCATTCAAAATAACAATATCGAGATTGATAGCTAGTTCCTAAAGTTTTGATGAATGATGATCTCCTGAACCCTCAAAACTGAAATCAAACATGTTTCTTTCCTCAGACATCAATCATATAATTAAAGAACCAAAAAAATTCAGTGATTATTTCCCTTTCTGCTCTCAAAATGCACCTTATATACTGGACCAAATCCACCTTCACCAATCCTGTTTTGAATCGCAAAGTTGTTTGTACAAGCCAGAATTTGGCCAAAATTATAATCCAAGGATTCTTTATGACTTGCTATGCTGCTTATACCTGCATTTCGGAGATCAAAAAGACAATAACAAAGGAAAATTAAAACTACTTTGGATCATCCATGACGTATTGATATTCGGTAACATTTTATTTATTTTTAACTGCTTTTTTCATAAGTTACCTGATGTTTCATTTATGATTTTTTGTCTCTTTTTGCTCCTCCTAACTAAGAAGAAAACCACCAGCAACGCAAGTATGGAAGTAATCGGGACAACAATGACCGCGATTGTCACGGTTGAGACTCCTTTATTATCTGTAGGGATCCAAATTAAAGATTTCTAATGAATGGTTCCATTAAGATGAAAAAATATTTAAGCTCGCGGAATATTCAAAATCATATTATTGTTTATTTGTGTTCGAAAAAAATAAAAAGTTGATGTCATTCTTTGTAGAGGTCGAGGTGTAATCGTATCTACCATCATAGAATGAGAGAGACTCATACGTTCTGTTAACCTGTGAATAAAATCTGGTTCTTTTTTTAAAAAATAAAAATAAAGATAAAAATCTTACTCTTTATACTTCATCCAAAATTCATTGTTACTGTACTATAATCCTACTCAAGTTATTTAACTGTAGAACTCCTGTGGCCTAACCTTTTTTAGAGCTTGCAATAGCCGGACCCGGAGCAGAAGGAGAAGGAGGAGGAGGAGGAGGGGTGAGTGCGGGCGGCTGTGCCGGGGGAGGGGATGGAACAACTTGGTAAAATGGAGTGCTCTCGTACCGGATATTACAGCTGGGAAAAAGAACTCTGCCTCCCTGACGATTATTACAGCAGTTGGGAAGTTTCTGAATAGCACTGGTTAGACACCCTTCACAATCCAAACTTGAAATATCAGGAGTACATTGTCCCAGTGCGTATATTCTCTGGAACGACATTAATTTGGCCACTTGAACCGCAAATTTCTTCCCCGAAATCGGATCACCTTCTGCGGCCTTGGTGGCTATCTGATTAAAGGTGTCACCTAACACCTGGTTCAACAAGAATGTGTTGGTCACATTATTCGGGTTCCATAAATACCCGACAATTCCCGTATCCAACCTGGAGAAGATTGATTGATTTGAGTATCGCAACATACAATTGTCATACCAGAAAATCGCCTGGTTTGTATCCGGGCAAATGGCGAAAACATTAACCTGGGCGTTTGTCAAGCAATCTTGACAATCGCTGGGATTAACGTCGCCCCGACAGAGGAATAGGCCGTAGAGGGCTGCCGGCGAGCCGACACCAGCTGTGGAATTGTAGAAGCCACTTGGTCGGGAAGCATTTGAAACTAAATCGGAAAGGAGGGATTCCAGGTTGATTTTGTAAGTCCTGCCAGTAGCAGTACTATTGTCGAAAATGGCTTCCTTGGGGCAGAAAACTAAACGAGGATCCACAGAATTGCAGACATGGAAGCTGATGAATGTGGTGAGAAGGAAGCAAGCTAAGAACAGTACTAGATTTCTGCTGATCATCATGCATGGTAGTTGAAGTTCAGGGTTATGAAATTCTAACCAATTTTATCTCTACGAAATTCTTTGATATCAATGGAGAATAATTAATTGAAGATATTGTACTGGTCCATGTGAGAGAGTAATATGAATGGCGCGTTTACACAGGGAAAAAAGGTGTTTATTTTTCAAGCCATCAAAATTATTACTTGGAGTTAGGCATGACCACGGTTCAGAACCGCCGGTTCCGGTTCATGAACCGCCGGTTCACGGTTTAAGAAATGGATGAACCTTAACTGACCCTTAACTCTACGGTTACGGTTACAGTTCGTAAACCTCCGGTTAAGGTCCGGTTCCGGGCCGGTTCCGGTTCTGAGCCCTCCGGTTTGTTGACGGTTTTAATCCGGTTCTTTTACGATTTTAACATAAATTTATACAATTATTTTGTGTTGTGCTTTTCAATAAAAAATGAAAATTTCGTGTTTGGTTTTTAAAGCAATTTATTCAAATCCTCAAAATATGTACGATTGTTAGCCTAGCAAAAAAATTTAATACAAATTCTTTTAACTAAATTTAGGACAACTTCACAGGTATTTTCTTGATTTTGTAAATAATAACAAAAATAAATATATTAGGCAATATTTAAAATTTATTAAAAAATATGAATTGTCATTACATTTTTTTCTAAGTACAGAAACAACAAAACATAATATTAGAAAAAAAAATTTACATACTTTAAGCACTACAATAGTAACGAGCTAATCATTAACAAAGGAAAAAAAATTCTATTTAACCCCTAATTAATTAGATCGACCACTTAATTTTAAGTATTTGTGTGTTCAGACTCTAAATGATATTTAAAACATAAGGGTAATTAAAAAAATTCCGGAAATTATTTTTTGAAAACAAAATATACCTATACTTTGATACAACCACAAATTAGAAAATAGACATCTATTTTGAAAATGAGATAGTAATTAACATTTTTATCCTTATGAAAACTAATATTTCTATACTTATTTTTTATGAAACCGACAGTTAACCGGAGATTTTTGACGGTTTGAACCGCCGGTTCAAAACCTCCGGTTTGAACCGCCGATTTACGGTTTTTGGAAGGCTTGAACCGTAACCGGTCATTGACTAAACGGTCCGGTTACGGTTTTATGAACAGTAAATTACGGTTTCGGTCCGGTTCCGGTTAAAACCTGACCCGTGGTCATGCCTACTTGGAGCCACCACTTTCAGATTTAGACCATTTTACCCCTGAAAAAAAAAATTTAAAAAAAATTGAAAAAAAAAAACCGGCCGGTCACCCGTCTCGAGTTAACCCGGGACGGGCAAGCAACTCGTCCACTTGTTCACCCGAACCAGTTCCTTGCTCGTCCCAAGTTAAATGAACTAACTCGGGACGAGCAAGGAACTCGTTCGGGTGAACAAGTGGACGAGTTCTTTGTTCGTTCCGAGTTAACTCGGGACGAGTTCAGGGTCCGGTCAGTCTTGCTTCGGTCTAATATGGTGAACCGGTCCGGTCAGGCCCATTTATTTTTAATTTTTATTTTTTTGTTATTTTTTTAATTAAAAATAGCAATATTTGTTATTTAAAAAGGTCTAAAAATTTTAAAAAAATACCAATCGAATTCATTTCTATTTTTTTATTTTTAGATTTTTTTTGTAATTAGTTAATCTAGTTTTTAGGTCATTAAATTTATGAATAATTTATTATTTGAGTTACATTAAGTTTTTTTTGACGATAAAAGTTAATAAAGCCGATATTTGAGTTACATTAAGTATCACCAATCTTCGTAGTACAAAAAATAGTTAATCTATTTCCACATATTTATCACAATCTTTGTAGTGCAATTATAATTTTTCATTATAAATGTATAATTATTATTTTAACTAAAAAATATCTTTAAAATAATGTTTGAAATAAAATTTATATTTAAATATCAATTCAATTAAATTAACTTAACGAATAATCTTAAATTTGTTTTCAAGTAAAAATTAATTACTTGTTTCTTTTCAAGTAAATATAAAATCGAGAGTGTAAGCACTAAAGTATAAATATTATTAATAATATTTAAAGTATGAGGTATTCAACATGTAACAATACTGTGAATGAATTAATATTAAAATAAAAATTAATAATTTGTCCGTTGTCATGTGAATTGTACCCGATGACTTGCCCGGTTCGGTCCGATTGGTTTATTCTATCTCTTTCTCTCTCCCCTTCTCTCTACTTCATTTAGGTTTGGAAAAAATGACAGGGGCAAAATAATTTTTTTTTTTTTGGTGGCTTTGAGTGATAAAGTACGTGACTGGAAAAATCCAACCCCAAAAAAGAAAAATGTTCGGTGGGAGAGAGAAGACGTGACCATAAAGGCTAAAAGCAAGTCTTCTCCAATGACTTAGCTGCTGCCTGCTAGTGTGTGTCAATGTCGTTGATTTTGACTGGAGTGAAAGTTGGCGATCGATAGTTTTCTCTGTTTTTATACAATGACGGGAGATTATACAACCTGGTTATGTTTGTTTTGTTTTTTAGTGTGTGTTTTTAAGTGTTTTTCGTATTAAGAATGTAAAAAATTGTATTAAAAATATAAAAAAAAATATAATAAGATGAAATAGTTAATAATAAAATAATCTAAAAAAACAAACTAAAAATAAAACAAACAAAGCCTTTGTTACAGGTGTCGTCCACTTTGTTGCAATAGAGTTGGAAAGATTGGGATTTGGAATTTACCGGCTCATGTCCAAGTCATTTAGTTGACCGGGTACTTGTGAGTTGTGACCGTGTTTCCACCACTGAAGTCTGTTTCCACCACTGAAGTCTACGCACCTATACAAACTTTTATCTAATTTTTGTTGATGTAGGGTGCATTCTAGACTAAAGAATCTTTCACTTAGTCGCCAATTTTGAATGTTTATTCCAACTGAGGAAATTGGTCGAAAATCTACTAGAAAACTCAGCAACACTAAAACGACATGGTGATTGTTGCACATGATATCTCTTTGGATCACTTTGTCTACAACATTGCCCCAAATTTTGAATAAATATTGATCATTTTGATGAGTTGAAATTAGCGATTATCGGATGATCTACACATTCAACATTTTGCATACATATCTTCTTTTATTGGTTTGCATATGCCAGTTTCTATAGAGACCAATTCTCTTAATTTGACAAAACTTGAACAATTAACTGAAAACTATTTGAAATTTCAAAAAAAAAAAAAAACTGAAACTGTTTGAACTTTGATTCACAATCTGTAATTTAAAGTTGATTAATGAGGTCATGTTATTTTTTATAAATTTAAATCATTTCTATAATTATTTTCAAACACTTAGAAATAATAATAAATTATATAGTTACACCAAACAATAAATTGAATTTAAATAACCAACGTTGACTAACAAGATTTCTACAAAATAAGAAGTAAATTAATGTATGTGTGGAAATATTTTCCCCATCGACATATAAACGCGAGACTTTTCAATATTAAATATTATTATTGCTTTTGAAAAAAAAAACATATAAACGCGAACAAATGAATGGTCTTTGTTCGACATGACCATGAACAGAGAGAGTCAGCTAGCAAAAAGAAAAACAATGCAAATCGGATCTTGTTATTCACCTTCTTCTGTCTTTATCTAGGGTAAAGTTCAGAAATTGACACTTCATTTGTGGAGGAATCTCCCACTGCTGATGATGATTGATTCGACCCCGCGACAGCTTGCTCATTTCTTGGGAATATCCTTGGTCGACTATTGTCAAAGAATGGTGGTGGAGTTGGAGTTGGCAGTGTCACAGAGAAACTATTTAACATCAGAACTACTAAAGCCATAGTAGGCCGTAGTTCTACATCTTCTTGAACACATAATAAACCTATGTGAATACATTGAATCACTTCCTGTTGGTCATAGGATTCCCTGATGCTCGGATCAAGCAATGCTAATGGCGTTCCGTTCCTCCACTGTCTCCAAGCCTACAAAATTAATAATGGTTTGAAGACCTTCACCAATAAACCGACCAATTGGATCATAAATGATTTTTTTTTTCCCCCCAAAATGAAATAAGATGGCTAATTATACCATTTTCATCACCTTTTTTAGTTTTGAGGAAAACTACAGTAGTTATATAATTTCATTTTGGAGAGAGATATCTTACATAACTTAGGAGGTCATCACGGTTGCCGCCATGTGATTGCAAGAAGCTACTGTTCTTTTTGCCACTTATGATCTCGAGAACTAAAACGCCAAAACTGAATACATCTGACTTGACCGAGAAAAGGCCATGCAATGCATACTCAGGAGCCATGTAACCACTTCCACGTTTTAAAAAACAAACAAACAGACAGAGTTACATGGGATAATGTATGTAAATTTATTAGAAGGACAATACCAGTATAATGATTTGAAGAAACTTTAGTATATTGCAAAAGAGCCATAAGAACTTACAACGTCCCAGCTATTCTGCTCGTATTTGCATTAGATTGATCGATTTCAAAAAGTCTCGCCATGCCAAAATCTGCAATCTTCGGGATCATATTCGTGTCTAATAGTATGTTACTTGCTTTAAGATCACGATGTATGATTTTGATGCGAGAATCTTCATGAAGATAGAGAAGTCCTCTTGCTACCCCTCCAATTATTTTGTAGCGTGTTATCCAGTTCAACAACATTTGCTTCCGCAAATCTAAACAACGTGACACATAAAATCATGGATGGTTCCCGTTACGGACAAAAAGACGACACAAAAAAAAAAAATCTCTCATTCAAAAAATAAATTAGATCGTCAAGTTAGGGGGATGATAATTTTTTCCCCTGAATGATTCCTCAATACATACAGCAAGCAATTGTATAAACTCAAGCTTACCAAAAAGGAAGAAGTCAAGGCTTCTATTAGGAACATATTCATAAATAAGCAGTTTTTCTTCTCCATCCAAGCAATAACCCAATAGTCGAACCAGATTTCTGTGCTGGAGTTTCGCCACCACTGCAATTTCATTGATGAATTCTTCAGAACCTTGTTTTGAACTTCTAGACAATCTCTTCACAGCTATCATTTGCCCATTTGGCAATGTACCCTAACAATCATAAGCCAGTTATCAGTGCTCACTAATATTACTCCCTCTTTCCAAAATCATTTTGAATATTCACTTTTGTTTAATTTGTATTAAAAGTGAAAATCGAAATTGAAAATTAATTTTGGGGCGGAAGGAGTACTAAGTAAACTTGAGATTTGCGTATTACATTCAACATTCTCCAAATCCATGATTTCCTATTCGCGTTCAAACTGTTAATCTAACACTGATAATTGATGAATATACAATAATAGTATTCATCTTCTTCAACTGAAAAGTCAAGTCAAACTTAAAAGTGTACCTTGTAAACTGGGCCAAATCCGCCTTCACCAATCTTGTTTTCAACACCAAAGTTGTTTGTACAAGCTTGAACTTGGCTGAAATTATACTTCAAGGACTCTGCATTACTTCTGATACTGCTTACACCTGCAGTTAACATAGATAGAATTCTATTCCATGGTGAAATCAGTCTTTAATTCCCACACACATTCTTAGACTAATTTCTCCATATAATTCTCAAGTCACCTGATGTTTCGTTTATGGCTTTTTGCCTCTTTTTTGACCTTTTTACTGCCCAGAACACCACTACAAACGCAGCAATGGAAGCGACAATTGGGACGACAATGAATACAATTGTTCGCGTCGAAACTCCTCCCCTGTTATCTGTACACACACACAAGGAAAAATAAAATACAAAATCGGAAAACAATAATAATAGAAACAGAACTCATCGAGCTTAACATTGGACTTACCTTTATTTCTTGCAGTTCCTCCGGCTGGAGGAGGAGGAGGAAGGCTGGGAGTTGGCGGCTTCGGTGGCGGAGGAGGTGAAACTTGGTTATAGAATGGATAGAATTCGTACCTAATAGTACAGCTAGGAGAAAGAACAATCCCACTCTGACGCTTATTACAGCACTCCGGCAATTTCGAAATAGCATTTCTAAGGCACGATTCACAGTCCAAACCTGAAAGATCAGGAGTGCACTGTCCCATTCCGTAAATCTTCTGCGACCAAGAATAATTCCCTTCTTGAACCGCAAATTTCTTACCGGAACCCGGGTCACCGTATGCTGCCCTGTTTGTAATCTTATCAAAAGTATCACCCAACACTTGGTTCAACAAGGTTAAATCCGATGCTTCCAGATTAATCACCAGATACCCGACAATGGTTGTATCCAGTTTGGAGAAAATCGATTCATTCGAATACCGCAGTATACAATGGTTGTACCAGAAAGTTGCTCTGTTTTTATTGGGGCAAAGCCGTGAAACATCCGATTGGGCGATTGTGACGCAATCTTGACACTCACTGGGTTTAATGTCACCCCGGCAGAGAAACAGGCCGTATACGGCCGTGTCGCCGTATTGTAATATTTAGTATATTTCCTATTATGTTATAGTTTAGGGTTTCTTATTGTCTATATATATAGTCTGTATATTGTGTACAATAGATCATGCATCTAATACAATTTCCCTATTCTAAGTTGGTATCGAGCTAAGGTTTAATAAAAATTTTTTTTCTCCTCTCTCGTTTCTCTCCCCCGCCGCCGAATCCTTCTTCTTCGGCTGTGCACAGCCCATCCGGCTCCTCTTTTCTCCTTCTTCTTCGGTTCTTCTGCTCTTCGCCGGCGTATGTTCGTCGTCGTTTCCGCTGCCGCTGTTTTCCTTTTTTGCTGCTGCTGTCATCGTCGTTTCTTCTGCTCGTCGCCGGCGTGTCTCCTTCAGACCTGTCGTCGGCGTCGTGGTCTTCCTTCCCTTCGTCGGCGTGGTTCTGCTGCTGCCGCCGGTGTTCTGTTGCTGCTGCCGGTGGTCGTCTACTGCCGTTCGGCGTCGTGATCTTCCTTCACTTCGTCGGCGTTGTTGTGTTGTCCCGTAGTGCCGTTCGTGGTGTTGCCGTCTGCCGCCGTTGCTGTTGCTTCTTAATTGATCCCCTTTCCTAATTGCTGCTGCTTCTTCCAAAACAAAACCGCCATTCCTGTTGCTTCTTAATTGATCCCTTTTCTAATTGCTGCTGCTTCTTCCACAAAAAAAAAAAAAAAAAAAAAAAAATTGGACCTTCTTCAGTCTTGCTTGCTTATTTTCAACCATGACTATCACCGACCTTTCATCCACCGACCAGGCTACCCATCTTCGGTCACCGGTATCTTCTTCACAGACATCAGTATCAATTCTTCAACCTAGTATGCAATCTCTCAATCATTCCTTTACTGTGAAGCTGCAATCTCGGGCCAACTATTCGTCTTGGCGTCTTCAGTTTACTCCGTTATTGACTATGTTTCGTGTTGCCGGTATTGTCGACGGCACCGAACCTGCACCGCCACGTTTTCTTCCTTCCGTTAGTGGTGCCGTGCCCCAACTCAATCCCGAGTTTGACATCCGGCAGCAAAAGGATCGCTTGGTCCTCTCTTGGATTCTTTCTTCCGTTCTTGAAGAGATCTTTCCCGTTCTCCGTGGCTGCACAACGTCGGCGGCTGCATGGACAAGACTTCAGCAGGGTTCGGCACTCTTTCTTATGCTCAATGACCCAGCTTGTTATGGAGCTCCACACTTGCAAAAAGGTGACTTGTCGGTCACGGCTCTCCTCTCCAAAGCGAAGGGCATCGCGATACACTGCAGCTTGCCGGCCATCGCATATCTCTGCGGAGTTTAATGCCATAATCTTCCGCAAGCTTGGTGCCGAATTCAATGGCATCATCGGAGCTCGCAACAGCCGATCCGAACCCCCTCCTATCAAGATCTCCTTGGACAGCTTAGTTTCGTATGAAGTACTTCTTCACGCCCAACACCGGTACTTCACCCACGGCCATGCTTGTGCAAGAGCCACCTTCTCCTACGCCGCCTCAATCCTCTCGTGCTGGTCGCCGCAACGCGGCGGCCGACGCAATCGTGGTTCCGGTCGTGGTGGTGGTCGGCGTGGTACACTCCACCCGCTCCGGGTGAGACGTGTCGCCTTTGCGGCATCTTGAATCACACGGCCGCCACTTGTCGACGCCGTTTGATACCAATTTTGTTCCTCGACCCCCGCCGTTCGGTCGGCCGCTTATGCCTGTGCAGTTCACCCGCACCGCCTTCACCTGGTTTGTTGCCTCTTCCGTCTTACCCAGAGTCGACTATGTCTCCTCAAGCCCATATGGCGCAGTATGCCCTTCCGTCACTCCCGGCATCCGGACACCGGTGCTACCGATCATGTCACGCCGATTTGTCCTCTCTCGCATCTCCAATGATTATACTTGGTACGGATCATATTTTAGTTGGTAATGGCGATGCCTTACCTATTCAAAGCATGTTGGTCAATCTATTTTGCCATCGTTTTCTCGTCCTCTTTATTTAAATCGTGTCTTGCATGCTCCTTCTCTTACTAAGCCTCTGTTATCTGTTCAAAAGTTTACCCGTGATAATCACTGTTTCTTTGAATTTTATTCTGACTCTTGCTGTGTTAAGGATCTTTCAACCAAGGAACTCCTCCTCCGCGGTCGGGCTGATAATGGTCTCTATCGCTTAGATCTTCCTGCTCGTGGTTCCTTGTCTCCAGCAGCTTATCTTGTCTCTTTAGGTCAGTGACATGCTCGTTTAGGACACCCTAATAATGTCACTCTTCGCACTTTGGTTAGGCAGTTTCAACTTCCTTATTCCTCTGTGTCCACGTCCACTGATAAATGTGAGGCGTGTTGTTTAGGGAAGTTACATAGGGTCAGTTTACCTTCTACTTTTCATCGTAGCTCTAAACCTCTTGATTTAATTCACACTGATGTTTGGGGTCCTGCTCCTATTTTGTCATTTAATGGTTATCGCTACTTTGTGCTTTTTATTGATGACTTCTCTTTATTCACATGGATTTATCCCATTAAGTATAAAAGTGATGTTGTCCATGTTTTCAAGCAATTCAAAGCTCTCGTAGAAAACCAATTTGGCACTACCATTAAAAGTGTTAACTCGATTGGGGTGGTGAATTTCGTTCTCTCAATTCTTTCTTTAAGGATGTCGGTATTGTTCATCGTTTAGCGTGTCCACACACTCATGAGCGAATGGCACCGCTGAACGCAAAATTCGTCACATCGTCGACATTGGACTTGCTCTCCTTGGCCATTCCAGACCCCTTTTCGGTTTTGGGATTTTGCTTTTGAAACCGCTGTGTTTTTGATTAATCGCCACCCTAGTAAACCTCTTCAAGGTCACCTACCCTTTACTACACTATATCACCACCACCCGATTATACCTTTCTTCGTGTCTTTGGTTGCGCTGTCTATCCTCTTCTTCGCCCTTATAATAAACATAAATTCTCCTTTCGTTCTACTCAGTGTGTCTTTCTTGGGTATTCTCCATCTCATCTTGGTTATCGCTGTTTTGATGTGGTGAATAACCGTCTTTATGTTGCTCGTCACGTTGAGTTTGATGAGAAACTCTTTCCCTTTAAACGTCCTATTTCTAGTTCTCCTTCTTCGCCTGAGTCTTCGCTACCCCTTGGTTGCGTGTAACCGCTTCTCCTGGTATACTTGCGTCGTCTTATGTGTCCTCTTCGTCTCCTTCTAGTACACCAGTTCTTTCGTCTCCTCCGATCCCTCCCGACTCCTCACCGTTAGCTAGATCTCCTGCATCCAGCTCTTCATCATCGATTGCAGTCCTCCGCCACCACCTCCTCCTTCTTCCTCCCGTCGGACTCAATGACACTTCGTCCACAACCCAAGCCCAAGACAATCTTTGATCCCTCGGCTCATCTTACCTCTGTTTCCCCACCTTGTCTCTGCTCCTACATCCTTCACCCAAGCCAAATCTCTTCCTCGGTGGCGAATGCCATGAAGGATGAAATTACCGCCTCCTCAAAAATAACACATGGACTTTAGTTCCCCTCCTTCCTCCGGCAATGTTGTCGGCAATCGATGGCTCTATAAGATTAAAACTCATGCCGATGGCTCCATTGAGCGGTATAAGGCTCGGTTGGTGGCTCGAGGTTTTACTCGTCTTTGGGGTTGATTACACCGACACATTTAGTCCGGTTGTTAAGCCGGTCACTATTCGTTCGCTTTGACTGTTGCCCGGCTCGTGGATGGTCGATTTCTCACTTGATGTCGTAATGCCTTTCTTAATGGAGTTCTAAGTGAGACTGTATATGGTTCAGCCACGGGGTTTGTTGATCCGGTGCGCCCTCATTATGTGTGTAAACCGCATAAGTCCTTATATGGTCTTAAGCAAGCTCCTCGGGCCAGTATTCTCGGCCGGCAGCATTTCGCTACCTTGGGTTTTGTGGAGTCTCGTTGTGATCCGTCTCTTTTTGTCTATCGCCGTGGGTCTCGGTTGTGTTTTTTGCTGGTCTATGTGGATGACATTATTCTTACAGCAAGACTTCCGGTTTGGTCCAAGATTTTATCTCTTGTCTTGCTAAGGAGTTTTCTCTTGAGATTTAGGTCCATTGAGTTACTTTCTTGGGGTTGAGGTTCGTCGTACTTCCAAGGGTTTGCTTCTCTCTCGCCGCAAGTATGTCACCGATTTGCTACGACTTGCAAATATGCATACTTGCAAACCTCGTTTCCACTCCTTTGCGTGCTAATGTTGTGTTGTCCCGTTTGGATGGTACTCGTTGTCTCCCGATGATGCGACTACTTATCGTCGGCCGTGTGGCGCTGCAGATACAACTCTCACTCGTCCAGATATCTCTTTTGCGGTTAATAAGCTTTGTCAGTTCATGCATCAGCCTCGCACTTCTCATTTTCAGGCTCTCAAACGGGTTCTTCGCTATCTTCGTGGTACCGTTGATTTCTGTTTAGTTCTGCATCCTACAGATTTGGGTACTCTTACTGCGTTTAGTGATGCTGACTGGGCTGGTTGTCCGGATGATCGTCGTTCTACTACTGGTTTTCTCATTTATTTGGGACCTAATCTCATTGCCTGGGCATCTAGGAAACAGCCCACTGTGGCTCGCTTGTCTACTGAGGCTGAGTTTCGTGCGGTTGCTAATGTCTATGTTGAACTGCATTGGGTGTGTCATATGTTATCCGAGTTAGGCGTTTCTTTACATCGTCCTCCCTCTATTTGGTGTGACAACAGTAGTGCAGTTTTCCTTGCTGTTAATCCTGTGTTCCATGCTCGTACAAGACATGTTGAGGTTGATTTTCACTTTGTTCGAGATCATGTTCGGCGTAAGTTTGTTTCGGTCAATTCTATCTCTGCTGCTGATCAGCTTGCTGATATTCTGACAAAACCCTTGTCCAAAGAGTTATTCTTTCGATTTCGGGACAAACTTCGGCTTCTCTCTTCTCCGCCGTAAGTTTGCGGGGGCGTATTGTAATATTTAGTATATTTCCTATTATGTTATAGTTTAGGGTTTCTTATTGTCTATATATAGTCTGTATATTGTGTACAATAGATCATGCATCTAATACAATTTCCCTATTCTAAGTCGCCAATGCCGGATGTGTAATTGTAGAAGCCATTTGGTTGAGAAGAATTTGAAACTAAAACAGAGAGCAGGGAATCCAGGTTGTTACTGTAAGTCCTTCCCTGAGTAGTATTAATGTCGTACACTGTATCATTCGGGCAGCTGGTCCACCAGGGGGGATCAGCGCTGCAAAAATTCAAGCTGAATAATCTACAAAGAAGTAAGCACCCAAAGATCACTAAATTTCTGGAGATCATGTTTGCTTATTCCATGAAGTTCCTCAGTATCAAAACTATGAAAAGTTTATAATGCTGTCATGTGTGGTACAAATTCAACTCCAATAAAAGTGAGTGACGCGTTTGGACAAAGGAAATTAAGTGAAGGATGCGAAGACTTCTCCAAACTCACAATGAAGTGTGAAGTGTGAATTTGTGAAACAGGACATCAACAATGATACTTTGTCATTTTTTTTTTCCCATTGATGTTGAATGGACTGAAGGAAGGAATCAAGGAATTATGATAGTACTTACTTTCCCACAGTTGAAACAATATTCAAGACGTCTCATGTTCATGTTTGCTTGTCTACACCGGCTCTATGGTTCATTACCGTCGACCAGGTCAACCTCTAGATTAGGTTTTGGCCGCATTTAA